AAGAAACCCAAGTTGTTTCTTGATTTCAGATGTATGGATGGAGGGGAAGTATATTAGTCTGTAATATGTTTACATAGTCATCTAAAGTCATGAAAGACTATTGATATTTTGCTAAATACCTGCAAACAATGAAGGAATATCTTATGCTTATTTTTAGTTTTCACAATTGGAATAAAGTGGGTTTCTAATTCAATAGAATTGGGTTATTCTATTAAATGAGTGAGGCACTAAGCAACTCGGTGAAATAAAAATAAAACAAAAGCAAATTTATTGTGTCTTTATTTCAAGATAAACATTGTAAACCTAACCTTCACTAAAGTTTAATGAGCTAATCCACTTAAAAATAGAAATAAATCCAGGAATAGACAATTGTCAGTAAATGAGTAACATAGATAAGAAGTCATTGATTGACTTGGAGACAATCATTTTCATACTGGTCTTAGTAAAGCTGATCATTCCTACAGAATCTGTTTACAGAATAGTAAATAGGAGCCAGGATATTTATTGTTGTTGTTAAGAGAGCTCTGTAATCCCAGAGCTCAGGAGACTGAGGCATGATGATCACAAATTCAAAGCTAGCTTTAGCAATTTAGTGAAGCCTTAAGTGACTTAGCGAGCTCTTTCCTCAAAATAAAAATCAAAAGGTTGGGGATGTGGCTCAGTGGTTAAGTGTCCCTGGGTTCAATCCCTGGTACCAAAAAAAAATAAAATAATTTTTTTAAAAAAGAAAGAAATTTAAAGGGATAAATTCTTTCCCTCCCCCTAAATTTTCAAAGTAATATATATGCAATATAGAAAAACTAATAAAGAAAACTGGAAATTAAAATCTTGTGGGGATTGATTTAGAGGCACTTAACCACTGAGCCACATCCCCAGCCCTTTAAAAGTTTTGTTTTGTTTTTAATTTTGAAACAGGTTGTCACTGAGTTGCTTAGTGCCTCACTAAATTGCTGAGTCTGGCTTTGAACTCGCAATCTTCCTGCCTCAGCCTTCTGAGCCTCTGGGATTACAGGAGTGTACCACCCCACCTGGCTTTATTCTTCTTTTCTATGCTATTTTACTTTAGTATTTGAAATCACACTGTATAGTATATACATTTATTATCCCTTCTAGCACAACATTACATAATTTCCCATTCATTTATCATGCTAAATAATTTCATAAAAATCTTTATATATTTGTACTAAATTTATTCTTTAATAATTTTTTGATATTTGGATTTTGCTGACTTTTCATTTTATACATATCCATTGTTACTTATACTAATCCTTTCCTTATCCCCTAATTTAAGAAGTTCTTGGTTTTTGTTTTGTTTTGTTTTGGTTTGGTTTGGTTTGGTTTGCTTTAGTATACTGAACATCTATGAGAAAGCAATTCTAATTCAATGGAAGAGATGCTGAAAGATTCAAGATTAACATCCATTATTAGCATGTAAAACTGAGGAAAAGATCAGTGAATTGTGCTTGTAGAATTCTGCCCCCATTGGATACAGAAGGGTCAAGCCTAAAGCCATCAATGGGAAAGATGAAGAAAGATGGTCTCTCAGAGCAGGGGTTTCTGGCTAGAAGCTGTTCTTTGCTCACTTTGTCAATTTTTTCTCCCAGCCCCCTCAGGCTGATTCTCTAGGCTAAGATGGTGGAGATCGTGTTTGCTGTAGTAGAGAAAGGAAGTGACGGGCTGAGCCCAGTGGTAGTGCTAAAAAGCTTCCAGAGTCACACTTGGCTCAGGCTTCTCCAGGGAAGATGGACAGAGGGAAAGGAGGTGCTGGCACCACGCGAGGGCTTGGCACAGGGCTCTGGAAAGTTCAGAGGAGATGGAGGCCCAGGTGGCAGGATACGCCTGGATAGCGACAAACTCCTATGGCCATGAGAGTCTGCAATGCCCATACAAGGGACAGCAGTCCAAACCCTATCATGCATAAGCAGATGGAGTCACATGGGGGATGACTTGCCCTAACCTGTCTCCCATGTGGGACTGACCTCCCCCTATTAAGCCCATGGTGGGCATCCTGGGAGATGGGGGGTCAGGGTAGCCCAATGTTGGACAGGACACCATACTGCATCTGGTTTCTGGTTCATCTCCATCTCTCAAAGCTTTTGGACATGCACACAACTGAAGGAGGTCTCACTGGATGAGAACTTTGGAAAGCTCCCTCTAGTGAGACTGGGCAGGGGTGGCAGGATGGGGATGGGGACTGCCTTGAGAAAGCAGCTGAGAAGAAGTTCTATTGTTCTTGAAAGCTTGGTCCTTGTTCCCAATATCAATCCAATAACAAGGACACAGTTCTGAGAAAAAGGAAAAAGAAGTTTTATTGCTTTGCTAGCAAAGGAGAAACACAGGGCTACTGTTCCAGAGGCTGTGATTCTGCCCATCCGGGGGAACAGGGAGCTTTTAAAGAGGTGATTCAAAGGCTACATTTCACAAGTTCTCTGTCCTGAGTTGTAATTCACTTGTTAATTTGGGAGAGAGTCATTTCAGAGAGGACTTCTGGTGCCATCCCCAAGTCTAATTACTTCATTCCTGTGGTGGTGTGTACTCAGAGACAGATAATTCTGCCCAGGATGGGGAAGAAAGGTAATCCTGTTTTCCCCAAGATTAAAAAGGAGGAGAGATTAAGGAGGAGGAAGGCCAGAGAAATAGAAACATATCCCTTTTTTTTGGGGTGGGGGGAGTGGCGGGGGTGTGTGGCTACTGGCTACTGGGGAATGAACTCAGGGTACACAACCACTGAGCCATATCCCCATTCCTATTTTGTATTTTATTTAGAGGCAGGGTCTCACTGAGTTGCTTAGTGCCTCGCTTTTGCTGAGGCTGGCTTTGAACTCTACTGGGCCCTGTGAAACATATTTTTTTAAAAAAGAATAGGTCACAGTGGCAGAGTAGCAAGGGTGATATTCAAAGCATAAAGTGAATCACTGTTACACTTTCTCCTAGTATTCTGATTTCACTCTCCCTCTCTAGCATAAATTCATCTTAAAACTTCCTCCAGTTCACTAATTCATTACTCTTTTTAATGTAATAAATCAAGTTTAGTCAACAAAGATTGTTGACTGGGTATGTTTTGTCCCTACTTAAAATGTTTATACTGTGCTACAGTCAATAATCTCTTGAGTCAAGAGTCAAACTTTTCCAGACTTAATATAAAAATTTCCACTTAGTTCATGCACATTAGATGAGATCCTACCTGTAGGCCAATTCCAGCCACCACCATGTTTATGGAACTCTCATCCTTGGCTACTTCAAAAACAGTATTGTAGGCCAATAGCTAAAACAGAGGGATTACATTTAAATCTATAGAGAAATATAAAAACTACTAGAATTAGGGTGAAGTACTTACTATTCCTACAAATCTAAACTTCAAGCTTCCAAAAATTGTCACCATCAACCTCTTTCCACATGTTAGGTTGCTATACAAAAAGTGCAATGGATAGAAAGTATTTACTTTGGTTCATCCATTAGAAATTATGTTCTGTTCCTATTTGAGTACCCAGTAAGACTTTATAAACATGCTCAGGGATTTCCTTTCTCACTTCCACTCTACTCCTGCCAATAAACAAGCTCCCTGTTTGTTTTCACCCTTGCTGCCTCTGCTGACTGCTTTGGGTCAGTGCCTTTCTGAGCTGCCTTTAATGGTAACAAGGGCTCATCTCTGGGCACCTGTTCCTTGCTAGGGTTTCTGAAGGAGGTCTCACTGGATGAGAACTTTGGAAAGCTTTGTTGACTGGGTATGTCTTGTCCCTACTTAAAATGTTTATGTTGTGCTACAGTCAATAATCTCTTGAGTCAAGAGTCAAACTTTTCCAGACTTAATATAAAAATTACTCCACGCTGGGGCCTGATTCCTTCTGCAGTTATATACTGTTCTTCAGTGCTCATTGCACATTTTCCCAAGTGGATTCATGTACAGGGTTTTCCATACCAACATTACTTATAATGTTACTGAAACCTCGGTCCTTGTCCCTGATGCCAGTCCAATAACCAGGATAGGTTTTAAGAAAAAGGAAAAAGAAATTTACTGCTTGCTAGCAAAGGAGAAACACAGGGGACTCCTGTCTCAGAGACTGTAATTCTGTGCATCAGCAAGAACAGGGGCTGTGGGGGCGGGATGCTTTTAAAGAAGTGATTCAACATTTCATGTGTTCTCTGATGGAATTGTAATTCACTTGTTAATTTGGGAGACAGTCATTTCTGAGATCTTCAGGTGCCATCCCAAAAGTCTGGATTACTTCATTTCTCTAGTGGCTGTGTATTCCAGGGCAGATAAATCTGCCTAAAATGGGGAAGAAAGGTAATCCTGTTTCCCCTGAGATTAGGGAGAAGGAGAGATTAGGAGGAGCAGGGAAAGAGAAGAGAAAGAAAGGTCCTTTTCAAAAATAAATTGCCGTGGTAGAGCAGCAAGGGCTATCTATATTCAAAGCATAAAGTGGATCACTATTACAATAAGAGTGAGTTAATTAACTGAAACCACCTAAATGCTAATGTAGGGTATTGACATCAAATCAATATTGGCATCAGATTTGCCATTTTTATCTAGAGTTTCCAAAGTTTCAATTCTGAGGCAAAGCTGCTTAACTTCCCCTAAGAACAGGTGCCTGCTGTCAACCCCACCCCAGCTTAAACTCCTAAGCAGTTTATGAGATTCCTCTTGGGGCCTATAAAGCTGCTCTATGAGTGCTGACAGGCTGCTTCTCTCCTCAGAAGTACAGCCTTGTCGGTATATCTCATGTTACCAACAATAAATCTCTTGCGTGGGATTCCGGTGTGTGGCCAGGTCTTTGGACTTTGCATGGACTCTGGGAGTATCCTCTCATAGGGGATGATTTAAAAAATTACTTGGGCCAGGGATATAGCTTATTTGGTAAAGTGCTTGCCTTACATGCAAAAGGCCCTAGGTTCAATCCCCAGTACCACCCACACACACAAAAAAAACCCTATATGATTTTGACTGTTTTATTTTGCTTCTTTAGTAAACATTTTAAAATAGAAACTCTTTTTAAAACCAGAATTACAAGACACTTTATTAAAATGATAAAAATACACAGTAATCTTAAATCAACAACTATTTTTATACTTGATGAAGAACACTAGAAACATTCCTTCTGAGGCTCAAAATAAAACAAACAAAAAAATTTTTTTTTCCCAAAGATGTTTGCAGGATGCTCACTTTCACTCTTCATTGTTTATACCTGCTGGCCCCAGGGTCCTTCAGTTCCCTTGTTCCTTCAGCATCAGTGCAGGTACTGGGTGGACTGGTGTCATAGGGGCTTACACTGCACTTCCTAATTTGGCAAATAGTTGTGGCAAAAGCATCTGTGATCCACACAGACTAAAGAAAAAGAAAGAGAAAACAAAGAATCAGAATGATTGGGAAAACCATTTTCTTGTCATTAGATGAGACAAGTTTTTTTTCCTAAAAAAAAAAGACAACTTAGTTTTATTTTTAAAGAGCTTGATTTCCTGGTTTATCTTATTAACACATCCTTTGTCTTACAACTGAAATATTTATAAAGATTGAAATTATACAATGAGGAGATTTGGGGGTTTTGTTTTAATAAAAACATTACACATTACACATATGCAATATTTTATTTTATAGCCCATGTTATTTCATTCAGCCATTTATTATGACCATTTTCTATATAACATATTTATCTAAATCATTATTTTATGGATTATATAGTATGTCATGATATGGCTATACCACAACTTATTTAACATTGTCTCTATTGATGCACATTCATTTTACATTCAAGTCTTCTAAACTTTGCATTTTAATGGATTTTTCCACCTCTTCTAACACATACAATGAAAAGTAAACATTTTAGATTTTCCTCTGGAAGTTTATACTCTGGAAATAATAAACCAGAAGTCTTTGGATGAAAATAGGGCAATCAGATTCAGAATCAACATCATCCATTTTAAGAACTCTATTTCCTTAAATCCAGCCAGATTTATGCCCTTGTCTATACATAGACACTCATATACACCACACATAGGACAAGGAACTAGAGGTTAACATGGATGAACCTGGAGTATATTAGGCTATGTGAAATAAGCCCAGTCACAGAAAGACAAACATTGCATGATTCCACTTATGCTAGGAATTTAAAGTAGTCAAACACATAGAAGCAGACAGTGCAATGGTGGTTGCCAGTGACTGGGGTAAGGGGTTGCAACAGAAAGAAAGAGTTGTTAACAGTATAAAATTCAGTTATGCAAGATGAGTAAGTTCTAGAGATCTGTTGAACTTTGGGCTTATAAGGAGCAATGTTATATTAGACACTTAAAAATGGGTTACAAGGGAAGATCACAGGTTGTGTTCTTACCACAATAAATTAAAATTGGGGACAAAAGATGCTGATTAAATCTCTATGTGCATGGGGGGCTGGGGATATAGCTCAGTTGGTAGTTGCACGGCATGCACAAGGTTCAATCCCTAGCACGGCCAAAAAAAAAAAATATATATATATATATATATATATATATGCCTGAACTAGGATTGTTGACTAGTATTTTTCTCCATTCATAATATTTACAACTAGAAGAATCCTCAATAATACAGCTACCTTTAGTTTTATCTGTCTGAATTATAGTTGTTGCTTGGAACACACATGTGTGGGCTAAAGCGCTTCCTTCTAATTTATAATTGCACATTTTATGACTATGACTAAAGTGGGGAAAATGGAAACTACTGGGAAAGTGGAAACTATTGGGTGGAGAACTCAAGTCTGTCCCCTTCCTGCAACTGAAACTTGCTGTCCTTTAACTTGAAAGATTTTCTTGACAATCTGACAAATCTTGCTTATCAGAAGGCAAACAGAAATTATTAAGTTGCAAAGGTAGGTGCCTAAAATAACTTTCTGCTCTGACAGTGACACTTAATCCAAGTTCAAAGTGGCAAGGTAATCAAGGAAATGTTGCTTCAAAAGGCATGTGAATAGGGTTCCTGGAGGGTGAACACACAGCTTCTCCTCTAGACTATTTATGTTGGGGTTTTTTTTGAAGTTGTAATTCAAATGGGTAGGGTAAGCAGGAGAGCAGCATGTCCCTCAAGGGCAGAGGTCTTTTTCTGTTCAGAAAAAAGTTGTAGCTTTTGCAAGTTTATAAGCCCAAACAAAAGCTGGCCCTAATGTAGCTCTTCAAATATCAATATTGAACAATTCCCAGTGTCGGATTGTTTGGAAACACTTTAGAAATAGCTCTACAAGCCTGGTAATGGCAAAGAAGTCATGCCATAATCTATAAAACTAAAGAAAATCCAAAGTATTTTATCTTTTAAAGGAACACAGAAAATTCTGGGGTCATCATTTCAAAATCTACTAATAGTCTCCATTAATAGTTCTCAAACTATAAATTGGAACACAGGGTCCAGGAGAGCTTAAAGGGAGCCGTAGAGGTGAGACAGTTTTTCAATGTTAGAAATGAAGAATGGTGGGCTCTGCAAAGGTGTGGAACCATGGAATCTGTCTTTCATTGAAGAATTTTTGCTATTTCCATACTGCCTTAGATGATCCAGGAAATTAGATCTGACCTGCAAACACACCTGAGAAAGAGGCTTTCTTTATATGCAGTGCCCACAGGTGCTGCAGGACAGAACTACTTCCTGCAGTGCAATTAGACAGCCTGTCTGTATGCCTGTCTGCCCCTCTCTATCATACATACACCAAGACCAAAAGTTTACTGAATTGCACTAAACAATAATGATTAAATACAGTCCAAAGGTCTTTTTGGAAGGGTGGAAAATCATTTATATATCCCTGATTTTGTTCACTTTAATCTCCAACAAGTGCCCCAGGCTCCTTTTAGAGAAAGGATCACAGCAGTGTGATCATGCCCCTCAAACCCACTGTTCTGCTACTTGACAGGAATTTACTGATCAAGGCAATGATGTAACAGGACAACATATCTTCTCTCCTGAAGTGTGCCCAGGGTCTGTATGAGGAATGGGGTCAGACAGAGGGGTCGTGAGGGGAGTCAAGATCTTGCTTTGATCTGCAGAGAATTGGGTTGCCCCTCTAAGTTAGGGTCTTGAGTGAAGGTATAGCCTTGCAAAAGAGCAGGTACCACAGTAATTTCAGACCAGATAAGTTTGAGTTCCCGAAACTGTAGAGGATTTGTGGTAACTCATTTGATAAAGTATTCAAGCAGACTTGGGGAAGAGAGAGAGGATGGTGCTAGAGAACTGAAATTTGATACGGCAAGGTTTTGTGATATTTATAACTTTTACTCCACACTTTGGTGATATACTACTTATCATGGTCATTATTTTATAATTGAGAGTCTTTTGCATTATCTTCTTAAGTGTAAAAATTGAATTGCTTCACTACTGTTTCATGAAATATAAAATTAATAATGATGTTAATTTAGTCATCTATTAATTTATTTAATAAATGCTCATTAGTATGTCAGGCACTACACTGTGTAATATTAACATGTTTATCTCAACATCAAAATAGTTTTCTTTTGGGTAAGTATTGCATTCCATCACTTTAACATATGACTGCAAAGAATCTGTGTTTTAGGAAAGTATAGTTTAATAAGAATAATATAGAGGTAAACCATTGAAATATTTTAAATATCATGCAAATATTTCTAACTTTAATCAAAATTTCACTATGTTCATTTTCCTGAACATTCCAAAATCTTGCATTACTTGTTCAGTCAAGTAAATGTCCCAGAAGAATTTGAGTACATAAATTGTAAAACTCTAAAATAAATTTAATAAGTTTCCAAATTGACTATCTATAACAATTTCTGTTAGGACTAATAAATTATTTCACTTGAATTAAAAAGGAGAAGAGGTGATAAATTTCTTTTTTTATCAAGGTTTTTTATTTTTTTAATATTTATTTTTTAGGTGTTATTGGACACAATGCCTTTACTTTATTTATTTATATGTGATACTGAGGATCAAACCCAGGACCACACACACACACACACACATGTTAAAAGCACTTTCCTGTTGAGCTACACTCTCAGCCCTTCTACCAAGGGTTTTTTAGCAGGGTAATGGGCAGGCAATAAATTAAGGGTTGTTGTTAATCTCACACAACTCCTAACAATTTTTAACCAAATGCCCTTTCCTTATCATTTGGCCAATTACAGTTAAAAAAAAAGTTTTGCCTAACAAAGGAAACAATCCTCGCCTATTTGCCTTTCAACCACACCTGCTCACTAGCCCTTTACCATTTTCCAGGAAGTAAATAATACTGGGACAACTTTTGAACTGCCTTTTTTTATTTCTGGAGAAAAAAAAAATTGAAAGTATATGTATTTGTTAACCTCTTGTCACCGGGACAAAACACCTGAGAAAAACAACTTGGAGGGGGAAAAATTTATTTTTGGCTTGAGGTTTCTGAGGTTTTAGTTCATGGTCGGCTGGCTCCAAGGCCTTGAGTCTGAGGTGAGCCACAACATTATGGCAGGAGGGCGTGTAGCAGCTTTGCTCAGCTTATGACAGTCAGGAAGCAGAGACCGAGAAGCATTCAGAGTCAAGAAATACCCTTTCACGGCACACCCTGGTGACCTACTTGTTCAAACCAGGCCCCACCTTCTAAGATTTCCACCCCTTCCCACTAAATGTCAGGAAATTATCAGTCCATCAGTGGGTTCATCCGCTGAAGAAGTCAAAGTCCTCATAATCCAGTCACTTCCCTGAAGCCCTACCTCTGAATATTGATGCACTAGGGACCAAAGCTCCAACATATGAATCTTTGGGAGACATTCCAGATCTGAACTATAGTAGTATTTTTAGCAGGCCCATGTTCAGTCATAGAAATCTCAGATCCAAACCAAGATAACCCCTTTGAGAATAGCTCAGGTCTCACAGAACTTAAAGTGACAGTTTGGTTATAGCTGGAGAATGAGGTAATCAGAATATATTTGAGGGTTTCCATAGGAAATATCAAATCTCCGGTGAGTAACATTAAGATTAAAATGAACTAGGGAATTCTGTCTTATATAAAATTTTGGATCTGAATAGGTCACCCCTGGGACATTGTTAACTAATTATTCATTCACCTTGACAAACTGAGCCTTGAGTTACAGAGCTTTTTTTCTATGCCATTTTGGCAACCCTCAGGATCCCAAATCCCTTCCTTATACCTACCTGGTCTTGCTGTTGTCTTCATGCTTGCAACTGAAAGAAAGCCAGTTCTTCCTGTGTAGTGTTCTGTAGAAACTGAGAAGCTTTTAAAAACACAAATCAATGATTTATTGTTGCTAAATTAGAAAGAATTAAGGAATCTTTAAGTTCCTAAGGTGATTCAGAGTTCATTTAGTCCAATCTCTTAATTTTGAGAATAGTAATCATTTCTTATATATTGAAGTAGATACCAAGAAAAGTCTTAAGTAGGGGAAGTTTGTGGTTTTGAACCATAATGAAGTAAGTGGACACAATGAAAATTGATGTTCATGAAACCTAGGCCATTCTCCAGGTAAAACATTGGTTTTATTGGAAAATTTGGAAGATGTAAGGGAAAATTAAAAACAAGAGAGGAAAGCAAGTAAGAAAGCAATCAGGTCAATATTGACCTCAATATTGACCAAGTGCCTATTTACCATGTGCTGGGTACAATTTTGTGCTGTATCTCTGATGATTTATTTAACTGAAGTAGAAGAAAAATATGCATAAATGTACTGATTTTTGAACTGCATAAAAAAGAAAAGCTAATACATTCTTTCCTTTTTTCTGGTTGGAACAAGTTATTTGTGACTTTATAGCTTTCCTTTTTTTTTTTTTTTCTTTTTGAGACGGGATCTCACTATAGTACCCAAGCTGGTCTTGAACTTGCTATCCTTCTGCTTCAGTCTCCACGGTAGATAGGATTACAGGCATGTGCCACCATGCCTGACATAGTTTTTCTTTTACATAAAATAACAGGGTTGGGGTTAGGCGTGTAGCTTAGTGGTAGAGCTTGATACCCTGAGTTTGATCCCTAGCATCACACAGAAAGTAAGTCAGTTTCTAGTTTTAGATTTTAAAATATTGAATTTCTATTTCTAATTTCTATTTTTCAAATTTAAAAAACCCAGAAATATTTAAAAGGTTTTAGTGCATAGGAGAAAATGATAATAGATTGATACCTTCCATCTAACTTTTAACTGCTACTGAGGGTTGGCAGGCAGAGCCACTTCAAATTGTTACCTAGCAGGGGCCTTTGCAGAAACTGAGGCAATTAGAAGACCACACCCTGCAAACCCCAAATCTTTAGATCAAGTCAGAAAGATTTTGGCCATGTAGCTCAGAATAACAGGAATGAGTATATTGAAAGGATAGGAAAAGGAAAAGGGGACCCTCTCAGAGGAGAGAGTGGGTCCTCCCAAAGAGGAGAGAGACAATGGGTCTTTCCTACACTCCCATTTTATTGGGGATCCCAGACAAGTTTGCAGAAAGTCCTGCCAGGGCTCACTTCTTGACTTTTGACTGACAGCAAGATAACATCAGACTTTTAAGTACCCACTGCCATGGCAACTCTAGGTTGGCCTGTGTTGATCATCTAATTGGATTCTTAACCATACATTCTTACAGATTTAATGGTAAAGAGGAATCATCCTTATCTCTTGGATTTTCAGGATCTGGTCACAAAAGTGTTTCCCTTCAGGGTTACTACCAACATTATTTTGGGCCTACATTTCTCCTGTAGTTAACAGTTTGCTGAGGAATGTGACATATCCTGTCCAGTTAGGCAGGGCTGCAGGTAAATTGCTTCTTGGAAAAGAAAGCATGTGGGGGTCAGCAGATCGGACTCATTTTATAGAATTATTCTCTTAACCTCATGTTTCCACCATCCTCATCTGTCTGTCCCCTAACAAAACTACTTTCCATAGAAGCTTTAACTTTCAGATTTTGGGGGCAGGGGGTAGTACCGGGGATTGAACTCAGGAGCTCTCAACCACTGAGCCACATCTCCAGTCCTATTTTGTATTTCATTCTGAGACAGGGTCTCACTGAGTTGCTTAGCACCCAGCTTTTGCTGAGGCTGGTTTTGATCTCCTCCTTCCTCAGCCTCCTAAACCTTTGGGATTATAGGCATTTGCCACCACGCCCGGCCATATTTTTTTTTATGACTTTTTTATTTATTTATTTTTATGTGGTGCTAAGGATCTAACCCAGGGCTTTGCACATGTGAGGCGAGTGCTCTACCGCTGAGCCATAACCCCAGCCCCACCTCTCTGCCCCCACCAGATTTTTAATAACAAAAAGTGAACATGTATCAAAACATCACATGGTAAATATGTACAATTCTTATGTAATAGTTAGAAATTAAAAATATAAATTTAAATGAAAAATCCATGTTTATTTTTGATACTAATAACATCAAAAGTAATTGGCAGGCTGGATGGGGTGGCACCCTCCTATAATCCCAGCAACTGGGGAGGCTGAGACAGGAGGATCCCAAATCCAGGCCAGCCTCAGTAATTTAGTAAGATCCTATCTCAATGTAAAAAATAAAAAGGACCATGGATGTAGCTCAGTGGTAAACCACCTCTGGGTTAAATCCCTAATACCAAAACAAAAAGCAAAAACAAACCACTGGGTGTGATGGCACCATTCCCAGCTTTCTAATATCCTGTAATTTATATCAGACTCTACACAGCTGTGATCTACTAAAAGCTTTCTCAAAGCTGCCTCCTTTCTTTGGGTCAGCACCTCCTCCTCAGGCCTATTTAGAATTCCATGGAATAAAAGATGAGTAATATAAATGAAGGCCCTAACCCAGAAACTTAAAGTTAAGTCCTAGGCAAAAAAAAAAAAAAAAAAAAAAAAAAAAAAATCCTTGCAGTTCTATACATTGTTGCCTTACTGATAAACCTGGATAATCTGGAGAGGACAGTGCTATTACATAGCCTTTACTCAGGTAAAGTTTAGCCTAAACTTGGGTGCAATAATATTTATCTTATATAGTCCTGAGTATTTTGCATAACTTTCATTAGTGCAGAAATTGTTTTGTAGTGTTGAGCAATATTAATAGCGATGTCCATTCACTTGTCCAAATGAATAGGCCGTAAGTTCCTTAAAGACAAGGGCCTCAGGGGCCTTATCTTATCTTTGGTTTATGAGCCCTGTGCCTCGGTACACACTCCCTCCCCGCCCCCCCCCCAAAAAAAAAAAAAGAAAAGAAAAAGAAAGAAATGCTATCAGCCAGCAGTCAGAAATATTCTGTGGGAAAGTAAGGAAAGAACAAGTTTTCATTGCTCAAATAACATTTTGTTCTTCTCTATCCTCTTGTCGGGGCTATAGGCAAAGGGTATGTTCTTAGGACCACTCGCATTGAAAACTTAATTTCACAAAACGCCCAATCTCAGTTCGCCCAGTCTCAGGGGCTGACTCCACAGCTGGCCGGTTTCTGCAGGCCACGAGGTCACCACCACCACCACCTCCTCTGCCGGCATGTTCCAGCGGTCTCTAGGGTTGCCTCTCTGATTCCCTCCCTCTCTCCCTCTCTCCGGAGGGAGTCGCTGGCGGGTAGCAGAGCCCTGCTGGAGGAAGCGGATTCTGATCCTCAGCCCAGCGGAGGCCCAGCTCCCGGAACGCCTGCAGTTCGTGCCTCAGCCTGCTCTCGTGCCGCAGCGGCTTCAGGAGGATCTCAAGACCCCTGCACGCACCCAGGGATGAACTGAGCCCTAACTCCAGAAGATTAAGTTTCAGGCCACGGTGAGTGAGGTTCCGGTGACAGCTGAAAGAGGGGTCGAGGCGCCAGACCCGGACCGTGGGTTCGCACAGAGAAGCTGCGACCCCTGGAAAACAGATCCGGATGAGACTCCTGTGGGACTCTGTCTAGGAGCCCGGGAGCACTGGAAGGGGTGGAGTGTGGGCAGAGGCGAAGCAGGAAACCCCAGGCCAGGCCTGCCTGAGCTGGGGGCACTGTGGAGGGGAGGGACAGAGCGACGCCCAGCTGGGTTGCCCGGCCCGCTTACCTGCACTGGCGACGCGTCGCGCGCCCGGCCCTCGGGAGGAGGCGAGCCTGGCCCGAAGGCCTTTGGATTCCGGGACCGCCCCCTCCTGCTCCCTGGCTGGCGGCGACCGGCAGAGACGGCTGGAGCCGCAGCGGCAGGATGAGAGTCGATGCCACCCCTTTTCGCCTGCGGACGCGCGGCAAGCGGTGCCGGCTCAGCCTGTGCGCTCCATGGGGATGCCGTGGGGCCCCGCGGTCGGCGGGCGGCGCGGGCGGCGTAGAGGCCTGGGGCTACCACCGAGCGCTTTGGCGGTGGCGGCCGCCGGGTTGATGTGCACCGCTCTGGTAGCCTACGCCTGCTGGGGACAGCTGCCGCCGCTACCTTGGGCGTCCCCGGCTCAGTCGCGGCCAGTGGGCGTGCTCCTTTGGTGGGAACCCTTCGGGGGTCGCGGCCCCGCATCAAGGCCGACACCTGACTGCCAGCTGCGCTTCAACATCAGCGGCTGCCGCCTTCTTACCGACCGTTCGACCTATGGAGAGGCTCATGCCGTACTTTTCCACCACCGTGACCTCGTGAGAGGACCCCCCGACTGGCCCCCGCCCTGGGGCATCCAGGTGCGCACAGCAGAGGAGCTGGAGCTGCGAGTATTAGATGACCTGGAAGAAGAAGCGGCGGCTGCCGCCGAAGCCCTGGCGATCTCCAGCCCCAGGCCCCCGGGCCAGCGCTGGGTGTGGATGAACTTCGAGTCGCCCTCCCACTCTCCGGGGCTTGGGAGCCTGGAAAGTAACCTCTTCAACTGGACGCTCTCTTACCGGGCTGACTCAGACATCTTCGTGCCTTATGGCTACCTGTATCCCAGGAGCCACCCTAGGGACCAGCCGATAGGTCAGGTACCGCCGCTGGCCCAAAAACGGGGGCTGGTGGCCTGGGTGGTGAGCAACTGGGACGAGCGACAGGCCAGGGTCCGCTACTACCACCAGCTGAGCCAGCATGTGCGGGTGGATGTGTTTGGCCAGGGAGGGCCAGGGCGGCCCGTGCCTGACAGCGGGCTTCTACACACTGTAGCCCGTTACAAGTTTTACCTGGCTTTTGAGAACTCGCAGCACCTGGATTATATCACCGAGAAACTCTGGCGCAACGCGTTGCTGGCTGGGGCCGTGCCAGTGGTGCTAGGCCCAGATCGTGCCAACTATGAGCGCTTCGTGCCGCGAGGCGCCTTCATCCATGTAGACGACTTCCCTAGTGCCTCCTCACTAGCCACCTACCTGCTCTTTCTGGACCGAAACCTGGCAGTTTACCGCCGCTACTTCCACTGGCGCCGGAGGTATGCAGTACACATCACCTCCTTCTGGGACGAGCCTTGGTGCCGGGCCTGCCAAGCTGTGCAGACTGCCGGGGACCAGCCCAAGAGCATACGCAACCTGGCCAGCTGGTTTGAGCAGTGAGGCTGTCTGCCCCTGAATGTGACCTTTTTGATCCTTTTCTGCACATTTTCCTGACTGCCAAATCATGGGACTAAGTTCTCCGAAAACCTATTTTTGCTCTATAAGGAAAAGGTGATTTACCAATTAATATTATTTAGCACAAGGATGGAGTGGGGAAGATCCCTGGTTCTTACATTTTTTGCACAACTAGTTCTCTGCTGTTCATGGGTTATCAGTGTTTCTCGTGAAGAAAGGGTTCTTTCCATGCTCCTTACAGATGTGAAGAAATAGCTTAGCTACAAGATGCCTTTAGGAGATTTCTTTGAATTTCCTCATCTGCCTTAGTTAGGCCTTATCTGTGGCCTGTGCAGCCTCAAAATCTCATACATTAGGTGCCCCACTCACATTTGCCTGGACAAAAGTGAAGCAAAGCACTGTTTTTAGCATTGGTGTGAGATAGTGGAAGGACTATGCCCACAAATGGGTCTTTTTTTGGTTGCATCAGTCAAAACCTTGCTTCTGGCTGGTATGGTGACAATTGCCTATAATCCAAAGCCTCTTAGGAGGCGGAGGCAGTAGGATGGCAAGTTCCAGACCAGCTCCAGCAATTTAGGGGCACCTTCTGAAAATAAAATAATAAGAATTGGGGTGTAGCTCAGTGGTAGAGTGCCCCTGGATTCAATCCCCAGATTAAAAAAAAAAAAAAAAAAAAACCCTCTGGGAAAAGGAGGGTAGTTCAGAGAGCCATTGACTTTGACTTCCTTAATAAGCACTGTTTATTCCCCTGCCCTATAAATGCAAACAGATTCTGGATTGTGCTTGGAGGACAGTTAGGAAGAATATATGGTTATACCTTACTTTACACAAGAAATGTATTCCAGAAAAGCTGCATCTATATCAAATCTCAAATTCAGTGCCCTAAGAGAGTTCAGTATTTAATGGAACCTTATGGAGAATCCCTTTACAATGTGAACAGTCATCTTCTAATTTATTTCTTCTGTCTTTAGTTTTTCTATAAACTGGATTTTAAAAAATTACAATTTCAGATGTGAAAATAAAGCACAAGCAACCTTCTTTTCTCTCTCTTCCTGGCAAAACAGCCTGCATTTACAGACAGAAGACAGAGAAGCCACAATGTCACTTTCCACAAAATTATGGACATTTCATGTCTTTACTGGACCCCCAAATTTAAACTGCAATCCAGTGCTTCAGAGGTGCTGGCATTACCTGTACAGAACAGTGAAAGAGATTGTACTGTATTGTGGAATCATGAAAAAGGAAAAAAAAAAAAATGGTTCGTGTTAGAGGTAATTTTTGTTTCTACCTGACAGTTTTTAGTAAAATGTTTTAATCCAAGGGAATAGGAACTAAACTAGTGCCTTCTACTAATGGACTCTGCCTTTTGTTAAAGGCTGAATCTGCAGTGCTGCTAATGCCAGCAGGTTTCCTTCTTAGTCTGCAGAGTACTACAGCAATTTCTCACATTTATAGAGTCTTTGAGAATATGCTGTGGGTCAAATTTTAAAATAATATGCATTGACTTTACAGGAAGTTGAATGAACATCATATTCAACAGATATCACGATGTGCCTACTGTGTACCCAACATTGGGCTTGGGCCCCTAGGGAAGATACAAAAACATATAAGGCAAGGGCTCTTACAATCTACTAGTGCCAAAAAGTGAATAATGACTTTGATGAAAAAGCTGGTAAAACCTATTTGACTAAAGTGAAATTCTTAGAGATATAGACCATAAATCAATGATTAGAAAGCCATTTGATTTAAAGCCCACTATAATGGCGCTTTTCTCTTTGAGTTATTATAATAAGGATACCCAATGATTAATTGCTGTGGGTAAGTTCCAAAATAAATTAGTTTTATACAGAGTTCTGCTGTAAATAGTAATTTTGTATTTGATTTGTACAATTAGCTTAGTCAAAAAGCAAGTTTTACCTCTATGTGCATTTGTTGCATACATACTTGAAAAGCTCTTAAAACTACGTGCTTCAATTCTTTCTTTTCTTTGAAAGGAAAATTAAAATGTCAAGATCATTGTACTGTCATGTATAACTAATTTTAAAAAAAGAAAAAGAAAGGAAAATTAAAAGCTGTGGACAACATTCCTCGTTAAAGTATTATAGTTTGGGCAGAATTTCAATTACAAAGTGAGAGTCACCCAGTAAAGATAAAAGTTTTACTCTTGAAGTAAGTAATAAGATATTGGCAAGTGATTTTTTGAAGGTAGTTTGGTTTAGATTTGAATTCTATCTATGTGACATTGGGCAAATTAGTAATAATATTGAGTGTCAGCTTCCTCATCTGTAAAATGAGGGGGAAAAGTATTTCACAGCTCATTATGAGCATTTCAGAAAATAAATGAAGATGCCAACACTTAGTGATTTTAGGATACCCTCATATATATTTTATGTCTGAAACTGTATCTCAAGGTGTATTGCAGAATAAATATGAAATAAAAAGGAAGATGCTTCATATTGTGTATTTCAAATCAGCCCCTACAGCTAAGCCATATTTCAGGAATCATCACTACCATTTAGATTAAGCCCGAATTTGCAAACTAGCACTAAGCACCTATGCTTTCTTTGAAAAGAAATTTGTGTTTTGGTTAAGTTATATAATTAAATTAGTAGTAATTATTTTATTGACACCCTTTTGGTATTAAGTTGGGTTTTTTTTTAAAAAAAAGAGAGAGAGAGAATTTTTTAATATTTATTTTTTAGTTATTGGCGGACATAACATCTTTGTTTGTATGTGGTGCTGAGGATTGAACCCGGGCCGCATGCATGCCAGGCGAGTGCGCTACCGCTTGAGCCACTAACCAGATATTTACTGAATATTTAGCATGAGGAAGAATACATATGAATGCATTATATATATATATATAATATATATATTTATATTTCAAAAATTACTTCTCTGATTATCATGCCCTCCTTTAAAAGGCATACACTTTTCTTTTAAATTTATTATGAATTTAATTTTTTAATTTTTTTATCACTGGGTGTCTCTACATGAGTGAACCTTGAAAGATAATAACATCATAAAACAGTCTGATTTGCTTGCAATATTCACAGATCGTTTTCATCTTCCAAACCTTCCCCTAACAGCAAGGGGAAGACAGTAGGGAAGACAGGGTGTCTTCATGAAAAGAGCTTGCAGTTTGGAGTCTGAACCTAAATAAAGAACTTAGGAGAGTTTTAGCTTCCTTCTTAATAATGCATGAATGCCCCTACAAAACCAGGGTTAAACATGATGATATGTACCAAAGTGCTTTGAACATTTTAAAGTACTATACCATTACAGGATATTCAAAATTTTCAAGGCTGTAGACCTGGCATCAGTAAACCTTTTCTGTACATGCCAGACAGCAAATATTTCACGCTTCACAGGCTGGTTATGTAGTCTGTTGCCACTACTCCGCTCTGCTGTGGGAACACAAAAGCAGCCACAGACAATGTGTAAACAAATGGGGTGGCTGGATTTGGCCCACCAGCTATTGTTTGCCAATTCTGCTCTAGACTTCTAGAGATATAAGGAATTTGGGAAATTAAGTATATAGTTTTAAAATCTAACCTGATGGGGTTTCTTAGAAGGGATTTAAGGAATTGTAATTTAGGAATTCTGGTGGCAGATATTCCTGGATTCCTAGACCAGTTTTTGCAATATTTCCTAGTTGATCTTGGAAAAATTATTTAAGCTTTTTGTGTTTTGGTAGCTTCAGCTCTAATAAAAGTAATCATATATAATTTATAGTCTTGTTGAGAGTATTAGATAACACGCTTAAAGTACTAAATCTAGTGCCTGGCACATAGGAAGAACCTAGAAAATGCTAGCTGTGATTGCCACTAATCCCTTTTACAGAGGGAGGAGTCAAAGTCCAGACCCACTGAAGGACTTGTCTAAGGTTAGATAGTAGTGTCAGAAGCAGCCATGCCTGTGCAAATCACAACCCCTTTAAGCCTCTGTCACTTGAACTTCAAAATGAGGGGGTTGCACAAAATAAACTCTTGAGACCTTCCAGTTTCCTTTGCTATCATTCTACTAATTGGCACCCTAGGGCTTAGCTACTTCACCTCACAGTGTCCCTTCCTTACGGTTTAGAAATGAGTTCATATATAGGAGCAATAAACTGGCAGAAAACCAGGCACAGGCACCAGAAAGGGAGAGTCTGCTTTAGCTTACACACACACACACACACACCCCTCAGATATCAAGGAGAGGATCAAGTCCATGCTAATTAGTTTGGTAGATAACTATTGCATACATTTCAAGTCACTCTTGGATGTGTCTCAGGGACTTTTATGCTACACATTCTTTTAACAAATCAAGTCTTAATGTTCAGATTATTTTGACAAAATGATTAAAGTAATAAAATGGAAAATGGCTCGTTGTTTTTGATGTGTACCTCCATGCACCTACGTGTTCACCTGTGACCCATGGGATACTTCTTGTTTGGGGCAGTTTTTGTGAATTATATTTTTTTCTAGATTAGTAACTGAATTGCAATGACTTTGCCTCTCCTAAGTTGCACTAGGTCCAATTTACCCAGTCATTTTGTTTCTTCTTGCCTGTTTTTTTTTCCACTTTAATAACTTGGTGACTCATCTCCAAGGGCATAAGAAGTACATCCCTCTCTGTCAGTACAGTTTATTTTATTAAGTGCTCTGATGCCCTTTATGCACTGTCTTTATCTCCTAACCATCACATTAAGTAATGTCATCTTGAGAAGAGCTGAAATAAAGCCTGGGAATGTGATGGTGGGCAAAGAGCTGATAGGGCAAGCTGCCTTCTTTATAGCAGATACTGGAACTGTTCAAAGGGGAAAACATGAAGTTGGAATAAACACTGAAGATTCTCTATCTGCCCTCCCCCAACACTTTTGCACACACTTGCTGACATGCTCATTTAAGTACAGACTTTGAAAAATTACCATGGCCAGCTGAGGATAGGAACAATACTGGAAAGAAAAGAAGATGTGATTATGAATTGAGTAAAAAAGAAAAGTGCATTATAAAATGGAGCAGGTAGTGCATACGGAAGGGGATTAGGAAAAAAGAAAAAGGAAAGACATTGAGGTCAAGGAATACAAAGTGTTTGAAGAGAAAAAAGATTAGATAAAAGAAGGGAAGAAGGAAAGATACTTGAGAAAAGTAGAGCAAAGACTAGGAAGGGTTAAAGGACTACCAAAGAGGTAGGATAAAGGAGGGGCATATGCAAAGACATCAAGGGAAGAGTTACAGGGTTTTTATTTCAGTACTGGGAATGGAACCCAGGAGCCTCCTTTATATTAAGAAACACTCTATCACTGAGCTACACCCCCATCCCAGAGAGAACAATTTCAAATGCACCATTCAATGTCACTTTGCTGAGAAGAAACCTTTGTTCCAGCTTAAGACACAGAGTCTGTCAACAGATTGGAGCGAAGTCTAAGAGTATGAGAATTCACTGACAGGGAGAGTCAGGAACTTAGAGAATAAACTAACATTTCAACAGAAATATAAAACTATCTAGCCAGGCACAGTGGCGCAGCTCAGGAGATAGAGGCAGGAGGATCAGGAGTTCAAAGCCAGCCTCAGGAACAGCAAGGCACTAAGCAGCTCAGTGAGACCCTGTCTCTAAATAAAATTTACAAATAGGGCTGGGGATGTGGCTCAGTGGTAGAGTGCCCCTGAGTTCAATCCTTGGTATCCACTCCCCCCGAAAAAAGAAATATAAAACTATTTCTTGATTCATTACAGCAGATGTTATAAACTCTTATGAATGCTTTTTTCATCTTGGAAAAAAGTACATTAAGTGCCTTTTATCATTCCTAGTTAGTGTACTTCGTCTATACTCAATATCTGCTTTTAAATAAATCTATTTTTATATAGTCATAATCACTAATTTATTCTTTTAAAGAGACTAAGAAAAATATGCAAAAGATTCAGTTCATTAATATGCTTATTAGTTTCTTGTAGAATGTTATTACAAAACTATTTCAGGTAAGATTTAAAGAATTGGATTTTTTTGATTCATTTTGAGATGTTTGATTTAATGTTTTTTAAAATTACTGAATCTCTGCTGGAATTGTAGCTCAGTAGTAGAGCATTTGCCTAGAACATGTGAGGCACTGGGTTTGATTCTTAACACCATATATAAATAAATTATATAAAAGTCCATCAACAACTAAAAGAAATATTTAAAAAATTACTAATTCTTACCTAATATCCTGAAAATAATAATACCATATTAGGTCTTGAGTGCTAAGCATTTTCTGAATTGTTTTTAAAAGCAGAGAGAAATGGACTATTCAGCATTTAACAAATGTCATTATTATCATCACCTTCATAATGACTAATCTCTGTAGGGATTTTGTTCTCCCAGCAACTAGGAACACCTGTCCTTGCCCTGTGATTTTTTTTTTTTCTGGTTCTTCTAAGGTTAAGTAAACATGTTAGAAGGCTCTATTCCATTATCTGAAACATCCCCACCAACAATTATCTTGGTGTTCTAAAAGTAATGCCTTTCAATAATGTTATGGTTTACCAAACCTTTGTTGGGAGGTAGAAATCTATGGTTTTATACAAAGATTTTTTTTCCAGAAGTGATAATTCATTAACATTTTTATGTAATGGAGCTCCTGCTATAGGTAGAATGCTTTATATCCATATTTTTAAAAATATTTTTTGTAGTTGTAGATAGACAGCATGCCTTTATTTTATTTGTTTGTTTTTATGTGGTGCTAAGGATCCAACCTTGTGTCTCACACATGCTAGGCAAGCACTCTGCCACTGAACTACAGCCCCAATCCTATCCATATTTTTTTTTCTATTTATTACTCTTCTGTTAAAAGCATTATAATCAGTGCCCTCTAGGATGACTCTCATTGGTCCCTGCCTCCTGGTGTCCATGCCTTCATGTAATCGTCCTCCCTGGAGTTTGGTCTAGATTTAGTGACTCACTTCTAATGACTAGAGTATTGGAAAAGTGAAGAAACTTCTGAGTTTCGGTTATAAGAATATTCTTCCTATCCTCCTTCCCTTATTTTTCTTTCTTTTTGTTGCCTCTTGTCTGTCCTTCCTCTCTCCCTTCATTCTTCCCCCTCCCTTTCTTCCTTTTCTCCTCCCCTACCCATGCCCCTTTTAATGGGAACATAGGAAAAGAAACCACTTGTCAAGGATTTTTAAGCATTATGTAAACTAATTTTTCTTTAAATTCTCGTTTAATGTTGAAGAGTTATATGAGAAATTAGTGAAACTTATTTGCTCAGCTTTTTTTTTTCCCCTTTAGTACTGAGGATTGAACCCAGAGGCACTTTACCACTGAGCCACATGCTCAGCCCTTTAAATTTTTTTTTTTTTTAATTATGAACCAAGGTCTCACTAAGTTGCTTAGGGCCTTGCTAAGTTGCTGAGGCTGGTCTTGAAGTTGCAATCCTGCATCAGCCTCTAGAGTCTCTAGAATTGCAAGCTATGCCACCATGC